AAATAAGCCTCAAGTGCTTTAGTCAAGTTGGCTAACAATTACGTATTGAAAACCAGAAGGACGTACCTTGAGACATTAACTGGCACTGTCCCTAGGTGACAGGACTCTGGGGGATTTATTTATTTACTTTTCTGCATTTTGTAAGTTGTCTATAGTGAACTCTTTCACAGTGAGAAAAGAAATGTTTTGTTTTTTTAAATGTGAAAGGGTTCAAAGCCAGTAAATAGAAAAAAGCCCCCTTAATCGGATGTATCATTTCCTCTGAAGAGGCCATCCGGTCTTGTCCCTGGAATGCTGGTGTGCAGTATGTCAGGCCTGCAGGGATCAGGTGATCTCCGTCCATCTGGGCCCAGGAGTTGACCCTGGGCTTGAAACCTGGCTGTAGCTGGGACCTGGGGGGTATCCGGGCTCCTGGGTACTTTCCTTACTTCTTGCCCAGCTGGATTCACTCCTGCTTGCGAAAAGCTGACAAAAACAAAGACAACAAGATGAGCTTCAAGGAGCTGCAGAACTTCCTGAAGGAGCTCAACATCCAAGTGGATGACAGCTATGCCCGGAAGATCTTCAGGGTGAGGCAGGGAGTGAGAGCTGGGTCTGTGTGGCCGTGGGCCTGGGACCCTAGTGGGGAGCATGCTCTGAGCCCTGCCCACCTGGCCTGGCAGGAATGTGACAACTCCCAGACGGACTCCCTGGAGGATGATGAGATTGAGGCCTTCTACAAGATGCTAACCCAGCGGGAGGAGATTGACCGCACCTTTGCTGAGGCGGCCGGTTCCAGGGAAATGCTGTCGGTGGATCAGTTAGTGACGTTCCTGCAGCACCAGCAGCGGGAGGAGGCGGCCGGGCCTGCACTGGCCCTCTCCCTCATTGAGCGCTATGAGCCCAGTGAGACTGGTGAGAGCCTGGCTGGGGCCTTTGGCCTGCAGTCGCTGGGGCCGCACGGGGCTGGGAGACCCCTGGGGAGACTACAGCCCGAGTGTAGGGAGCTGGAGGGAAGGGGGGCACCCTGGTCAGTATTTGCTTGCCCCATGAAAGCAAGCAGATGGGATACAGGGCTCCAGCCTCACTACCCCTGTCTTGGTTCCTTCTCCAGAGGGTTTTGTGGACTCCTCCTCCAGGAGATAGGAGGCTGAAAAAGCAAACCTTTTTCCTGCTTCCATCCTGGAACGGGCTTTGAGATGGGCAGACGGGGCCCTGCCCTGGAGGGGCTTCAGTCTGGAGGCCCAGAGGAGATGAGGCCCCGGCTTCAGGCGGTCTCACACTGTGGGGGACCGAGGAGGAGAAGACAGGGCCTCACCCTGGGATAGTCACAGTCTGATGGTTGACTCAAACTCACCCCCTCCGAGAGCTATCAAGGTCCAGCTCAGCACAGGGAGGCAGGGACAGCTGGGGGCTCCCCTCCCCGAGCGGTGGCACCCGGAAGATCTCCTGGAGGTGGCTGGCCCGGCCGTTAGGGTTCTGACTGGCGCCGGCCTCGTCCTTCGCAGCCAAGGCGCAGCGGCAGATGACCAAGGACGGCTTCCTCATGTACCTGCTGTCCGCCGACGGCAGCGCCTTCAGCCTGGCGCACCGGCGGGTCTACCAGGACATGGGCCAGCCGCTCAGTCACTACCTGATGTCCTCCTCGCACAACACCTACCTGCTGGAAGACCAGCTCACGGGGCCCAGCAGCACCGAAGCCTACATCCGGTGGGGCCCGGGGCGGGGGCGGGGGTGGGGGGCCGGGAGGGGGGGGGCCTGGGAGCGGGGGCGGGGCCAGCCGGGGACTGAGGGCGTAGCCCCTACGCCTGCCCTTGCCCGCAGGGCGCTGTGCAAAGGCTGCCGCTGCGTGGAGCTCGACTGCTGGGACGGCCCCAACCAGGAGCCGATCATCTACCACGGCTACACATTCACCTCCAAGATCCTCCTCTGCGACGTGCTCAGGGCCATCCGGGACTACGCCTTCAAGGTTGCGCGCGCCCCTGGCGGGTGAGGAGGGCAGCGATACGGGCGGCCCGCCCCTCCTAACCTGCGCTGGGGCCTCCAGGCGTCCCCCTACCCCGTCATCCTGTCCCTGGAGAATCACTGCAGCCTGGAGCAGCAGCGTGTGATGGCGCGACACCTGCGCACCATCCTGGGCCCCATGCTGTTGGACCGGCCGCTGGACGGGGTCACCACCAGTCTGCCTTCCCCTGAGGTTCGCGGTGGGCATGGGGTACCCAGACGAGAGGGCAGGGGCACTGGCTGGGAGGGCAACTGGGTCTTGACGAGCTGCTCCTCCCTTCTTAGCAACTGAAGGGGAAGATCTTGCTGAAGGGGAAGAAGTTGGGGGGGCTCCTGCCCCCTAGCGGGGAGGGTGGCCCTGAAGCCACTGTCGTGTCTGATGAGGATGAGGCTGCTGAGATGGAGGATGAGGCCGTGAGGAGCCGTGTGCAGCGCAAGCCCAGGGTTCGGGGCGCGGGGGGGGGGGGGGGGGGGGGGGGGGGGGGCAGCCCTGGGGCCCTCCCCCATCATGGGATGTTTGCCTTGTCTCAATTCTCTGTGGCTGCCACTCAGACCCTCTGCCCCCCCTCTCTCTGTCTGTCTCCCTGTCTCTCTGTGTCTGGGTTTCTGGCTCTCTCAGTGCCCACCTGCCCCAACCTCTGAATCTAACCTGGGCCTCCCCATGGCCCCCAGGAGGACAAGCTCAGGCTAGTGAAGGAGCTCTCCGATATGGTCATTTACTGCAAGAGTGTCCACTTTGGGGGCTTCTCCAGCTCTGGCACCCCAGGGCAGGCTTTCTATGAGATGGTGTCCTTCTCTGAGAACCGCGCCCTCCGACTGCTCCAAGAATCAGGTGAGCCCTGCCCCTGCATTCTCAGGGTGCTGGCCATCCGTCTGACCATTTGGACTGGCCCGGGCCAGGCCTGGCTCCACTACTCGGGAGGTGCACAGAGTTGGCACTCCCTGCTGTTAACCAGAGGGGGGCCGGGGGTGGGGGGGTAGTTTGGGCTCACCAGGAGGCCTGTGCTTCTGACCACCCACACACCCTTTTCAGGAAACAGCCTTGTTCGCCACAACGTCAGTCACCTGAGCAGGATCTACCCTGCTGGGTGGAGAACAGACTCCTCCAACTACAGCCCCGTGGAGATGTGGAACGGGGGCTGCCAGATCGGTATGGGCTGGCAGGGGCTGAGGAGGCTGGGGTGAGGGTTTCAGTCCAGAGGGCCAGGGGTCAGGAGCCTTTGGGGACCCAGCTGGGGCCAGACACAGGGACTTGTGGGCTCAGGCGCTGGTACTCAGTTTGGGCATATTCCCCCTGCCAGCAAGTCAGGGTCTGAAATCGCCTCATTAGCACAGTCGTCCTTTGAATTCTGCCACCAGAAATGGAATGTGGGCTGGCATGGTGGGTCAGTGACGGTGGCAGGAGGGCAGTAGGCATCAGAGTGCTGCCGGACCCTGCTTCTGCCATGCCATGTGACCCTAAGGCCTCCGTGTACCCTGGGTAGGCTGGGCTCTAGGGCCCCCGAGGCCAGCCCACAGCCTGTGACTGCTCTGTCCTGCCTACAGTGGCCCTGAATTTCCAGACCCCTGGCCCAGAGATGGATGTGTACCAGGGCCGCTTCCAGGACAACGGGGCCTGTGGCTACGTGCTGAAGCCTGCCTTCCTGCGAGACCCGAACTCTACCTTTAACTCACGTGCCCTGGCTCAGGGGCCCTGGTGGACCCGGAAGCGGCTCAGTGTCAGGGTACGGCCAGCCACCGCAGGGACAGGAGCCCATGGGCCTCCCTCCCCGCCACCATTCCTGAACCCTCATCTGTCCCTTGCCCCTGCTCAGGTCATCTCTGGGCAGCAGCTGCCGAAAGTCAACAAGAATAAGAATTCAATCGTGGACCCCAAGGTGACGGTGGAGATCCACGGTGTGGGCCGGGACGTGGCCAGCCGCCAGACTGCCGTAGTCACCAACAACGGTACTTGCCGGGCCTGGGTGGGGACCCAACCCCTGGACCTGGCGTCCGCACTGTTGACGTGGTGCTCATGCCGCCAGGTTTCAACCCGTGGTGGGACACGGAGTTTGTGTTTGAGGTGGTTGTGCCTGAGCTCGCCCTCGTGCGCTTCTTGGTGGAGGATTATGACGCATCCTCTAAGAACGACTTCATTGGCCAGAGCACCATCCCCTTGGGCAGCCTCAAGCAAGGTTTGTCGAGGGGAAGGGACGACAAGGTGGAGGAGGCAGGGCCTGTTATCTCTTGGGCCGGGGCCCTTGTCCCTTGAAGCATCCTCACCGAGTGACCAGAACTCTCCGTGTGCTCTTTCCTGCCCATCCCCCTGCCAGGATACCGCCATGTCCACCTCTTGTCAAAGAACGGAGACCAGCACCCATCTGCCACCCTCTTTGTGAAGGTGTCTCTCCAGGACTAGGTTTGGGGGTTCTGATGGGGGCTGCCCCAGGCACACCCAGCCCTCTGTCTCCATGTAGGGACAGGGCTCGTGAGGCTGCTCCCCACCTCTCACTTGGAGCTAGAGGCCCCGCACTGCCTTCAGCTCTAACAGACGTCTGTGCTGCTGCCTCCCTGGGGTCCCAGGAGCTAGCTTAGTCCCTGGAGCTCTCTCGATTCCGTTAGGAAAAACACTGCAGCCCTCTGCCCTCTGGCCTGGCCCTGGGTTGAGGGTTTTTATAAAAGTTAGAAGACTAAGTCCTGTGGTCTCTTTACCTGAATGCCAGAAAGTCCCTATAAAGGGCACCTGTGTGTGTGTGTGCATGCATGTGTGTGGGGGGGAATGCTGGAGCCCCATCACCTCTCTCTCCATGTCCCCCACACTCACACTGTATGAGGGTTGTCTGTTCCCTTGGGCAGGAAGGACCAGTGAGAAACAAACCCCTCCATGGAAGACAGTGGACAGAGCTCAGTCCTCTGGAATGTCACAGACCACCCCCCCCAGTCCCCGGGGCCCCTTCCCCCCCCCCCCCCAGAGCTGGGCCAAATGAGTGACCCAGACTTGAAAGCCCACACACCACACCTCGTGAGGGCCACCAGCTTTTATTGACCGGGGTGGAGGGGTTGACCCGGGAGTCTCCAGCTAGGCTTTGCCAGCGGGGTCTCCCAGGGGTCTCAGGTATGTGTTGGGAAGGTACCCGTGGAGGTGCTGGCCATGTGGGTGGCACCGGTAGGGGCAGGGCCTGGGGTCAGAACAAGCCAAGCTGCTTTTTCTCCTGCTGCTGCCTCCACTTGGCCATGCTATAGAATTCTTCCTTGGATTTCCCAAAGATATCTTGGAAGTCAGAGTCGGAGAGAGAGAACTGGGGGCGGGGGGAGAGGGTACAGGGGCAGGGTGTCAACTGATCCCAGAATCCTGTTCCGTTGGCCCAGTGGTGCCATCCCAGGGCTCAGGGCTCTCCTCCCCCACCTCTCTCTGCCCATTATCCCATTCGGAAGACACATCTCCCCGGGCAGCGGGCCCATTGCCCACCATCAGTGGGTCATGCCCCGGGCACCTCCAGCTCAGTGTGAGATGCATCAGTGAGTGACAGGGGGCCTCGGGCATCCACCTCCTCGTGGGCTGGGTCCACGCCCTCTGGCAGGTCCTCGGCAGCCTGATGCATTAGCTGTTCGCGGGGCAGGCTCCCACTGATGGTGGGTCTGGGGCTGCTGTGGCAGCTGCCGGTGCTGGTGCCCCCGGCCTTGGGGCCTAGCTGCAGCTCATTCCCTGAGCCCTCCTGGGAGCCCTTGAGGGCCCACAGGGTCAAGGGGCCTGTCCTGCCATTGCTTGGCCCTCTAGAGAGCTGCAGGTTGTTGAGTTCCTACCGGGAGAGGGGACTCACGCTGGGGATATGGGGGAGAGGCTCCCACGGGGAGGCCACACTGAGCCCACGGCCCTCTTGGCCCCATTGCAAACCCTGCCACCCATCAGGGTCTGGCTCCTTCCTTGCCCATCCTGCCCATCTGGGCCATGCCGACCAAGCGCAGTCCCTGGCGGGAGCCTGGCAGGCCCAATACTCACTGCTGTTATCTCAACTATGGCAGGTTTTGCTCCCAGGCTGCCATCCACCACCTCCTCATAGGACTGGTTGTTCTGGGGGCAAGAATCAGGACAGGGCAGGATGGAGGGCACCACTGGAACCCAGGGGCGGCGGGCTGAGAACAAGACCCGGGCTCTTCTACCCACACTGGAAGTCCCCAGACAAGGCAATGCCTCCTCCCAGTGTGCCCAGGGCAGGCCCCTCTCCCTGGGGTAGGGTGGGGCTGGGAGTTCAGGCCTCACTCACAGTCCACTTGTAAGGGTCCCAGGTGAGGAACCATCCAGTGAAGGTGGGAGGCTCGTGGCCCTCCTTGATCACCACAATGGGCGTGGCGGGGCTCCTCCCTGCGGGATGCGTCTTCAGGTACTCCGGGCCCCAGGCCACCGCCTCCTTCTTCCACTCACTGGCAGCTTCCCCGAGCCACAGGTAGATCTGGGCCACAGAGAGGGCCTGGCCTTGGGCGAGTGGAGGGGCTGCCCAGAGCTGACCACTTCCTTCCCACCCCCATCTATTAAATGGTCTCCCAATAATGGTCTCGCACACATCCCAGCCAGCCAGGCACACCCAGCAGGCTGGCCGCCACACCACCCACACACCCATAAATGTGGTAGAGGGTCACAGGCACACATGTATACATTCAATCCACAAATATTTATTGAGTTCCTATTGTGTGCCAGGCACTGTTCTAGGCACTTGGGAATTCAACAATGAGAAAACAAAACAGGCAAAAATCCCTGCCCTTGTAGAGCCTTCATTTTACTGGGGGGAGACAGAAAAATAAGTACATAAATTAAGTAAAATAGGTACTACATCAGAGAAAAGTAAGGCAGGGAAAGAAGACAAAGGGTGTGTGCTGGGGGGGTTGGTGAGGATGACTAATTTTAAATTAGAATCGGAGAGAGTCTTACTGAGAAGATGACATTTGAGTAGAGATCTGGGGGAGGTGGAGGGAGCAAGTCGAGTGTTCTAGCCAGAAGAAACAACAGTGCAAGGGCCCTAAGCACACCTGGGCAATTTCGGGGAGCAGCAAGGGGGCCACTGTGGCTAGAGCAGAGCAAGTGGAGGTATGGGAGCAGAAATTTGCTCCCACAGAGGTGTGGGAGCAAGTCAGCCCAGAGAGTCGGGCCGCCAGGTCATGTGGGCTGTAGTAAGGGCTTTGCTTTTGCTCTGAGATGGGAACACACAAGCCTTATGGCCACATTCAGTGTCACAGACACATGATCACAGCTGTAGACATGCAATCCCCCACTGCCGCAGAGCCACTCACTGTCACCCACAGTCACACAGAGCTGCACCTAAACAAGATTGCACTCCATCACACAGCTGTGCTCACTCCTCCTGAAAAACACAGGCAGCCCCCAGACCTGCCTCATAAAGCCTCTCAGACACATAGTGACCCTGCCCGACAGTCACTCAGGCTGTGGCCAGTCTCCTAGTCTCCTGGTTTCCCCAGTTACAGCCGGTGCGGGACCACACGGCCGCTCCACGGAGGCGAGCACCATCCCACAAAGGAACCACGTACACTCGTGTGGTCATTCAGTCTGCAACCACTCGCATGGACACATTAGCCATGGGCACCCAGTCGCCTGGAATCATGCCGCTGTAAGGCACACAGACGCAAATACAGAACTGCTCACAATCTCACAGTGAGTCTCCTACAGCTTCGCGGTGACACAGGGTGGTCCCTGGTCGCGCAGTGCAGTCACTCACAGCATTACCGTGTCACCCACAATCACAGACTCATCCGCAGGCTGACATGGCTGGAAACACACAGTTACACACTCTCGACCCCAGCTGCACAGACACGGTCGCCCCCTCCCTTCACACCCCAGCCAGCCGGGGGCAGGGGCGGGGGGGCGCCTCACCTCCTGCCAGGTGTCCAGTAACATGATGTCATACTTGTCCAGGCCCTCTTGGCTAAAGAACACCACTTCTGTGAGGACCAGGCAGCCCATCTGGCTGGAGCACTCAGCCGTGGCTGGAAGCTGGAGACGTCCTCGGGAAGCCTGGCCAGGGTGGGCAGCCAGGCAGTGAGGGGCGTAGAGACAGCTGTGCCTCTCAGCAGCCTGGGCTGAGCTAGCCCTCAGCACAGGGCCTCTACCTCCCCCCAACCCCCGGATGGGCAACAGCTTCTCCTGGAGCGGGAGGCCTGCGCCCTCCTCTGGGCTCCCCTCAGCCCATAACTCCCTCCGGGGATGCCCAGCTGCTCCCTGGGTCCCAGCATCACCGTCTTGTCAGTGGGAAAGCCCATTACGTGACCTGTCTAGCCAGCTGTGACATACGCTGCCCCAGGAATTTCCCCAGGAGTGGGCCCTGGGAAGGGGATGCCTGGCTCAGTGCGGCTGGGTGGGGGGGAGTTGTGCTAAGCTGGGGCCCTGCCCTCCCCAGGAAGGAGGGGGTCCTGGTCCTGGCTGGATGCTCAGGGGACTTGCGGGGAGTCCAGTGCATCAACCGGGCCCCACAGACACTCACAGCGGCCCTGACTCCGCAACCTCCTCCCTTGAAGGCCTCAACCCTGCCTTACCTTCTGATACACACCCTTGTCCTTTTACACAGTCCACACATACGTTTATTCACACGTCACATTAGCCGTGCCCCCCCCCCCAAAGATACACACACACACACACTCGGCACCATGACCCCTGGGGACTGTGGGCTGGGAATGGGGCTTTGCCCTCTTGCCCTCTGCCGTTGGGAAGGTCCAGGGAACTGGGCAATGCAGGGAGCATGTTTGGCCAGAAGAGGGCGCGACTATCCTGCTCTCCCTGGCATCTTCCTGATCCCTATTACCCAGGGCTGGGGAGGGAAGGGTGGGCTGTGCTCCTGGGAACCCTGGAATGGGGAGCCAAGAGACCTCAGTTCTAGTGTGGCCTCTCCAGCTCTCTGTGTGACCCTTAAATCGTCACCCACACTCTCTGGGTCTGTTTCCTCCTCTGTATAAGGAAAACACCCTCTTCCCAGCCCTGTCACCTCTTGTTGCTGGGGTAGGGAGCTCAGCCTCCCAGGGCCTCCCAGAAGTGGGGAGGCCCCTGACCCTCCAGCACCGTTTGCTTGTTCTCCCCAGAGATGGCAGTGACCACCATCCGCGCCATCTCACGCTGGTCACCGCTGCAGCCCTGGCAGACAAAGAGCTGGGTCAGGCCCTGAAGGGGGAGGGGTCTTGGCCTCCAGCCCCACCTCCCCCACTCACAGGGGACTCCGGGAGACTGGGCTTAAGTCCGTGGAGGCCTAGGCTGACGGCACACATGAGCCAGGGATCTCCCCTTCCCCACTCCCAGTACTGGGACCCTCTCCTGGTCCAGAGAATGGGATGGGGACCCCAGGCCCGGGGACCATTTGTGGTTTATGTTGAAGATCAGAGAAAACTCTGGCAATCTGGACTAGGCCTCCTCTTTTCCCCAAGAGACTCGGGAAGGGTCATGCTCCTTGCTCAAGGCAGGAAGGAGGGGAGGCAGCCTGGGCCTGGCCTGCCTCTGACCAGTAGACTCCCAGATCTACCTGTCACATTCAACTCCCCACTGTGGCCTTTCCCCTGCCCCACTCCTGGCCTATCTGAGGTTGGACATGGAAGTCTGCCTGAGTAGAGCCATCCCTCGCGTGGCACATGGCCCTAGGCATGAGTCGAGTGGCCAGGGTTAGAGGTACCTTTCCAAACCAGAGGTAGCGGGTGCTAGCTGTGACCAGCAAGAAAATGTCACTGGAGTTGAGAGCTGAGGCACGGGCCGGCACCTCCACAGTCCTGGTGTTGTAGCTGTCTGTGTCTTGCACATGGAAGAGCCTCGTGGCAGGTGCTGGCTGCCCCTTCCCATTGTGCCCCGTGTGCCCCTACAAGAGGGCTGGGCCTCAGGATGAGGCAAGGGCTCCTGGGGAGCTGCCTCCCTGTCCCAGGGACGGACAAACTGCCCTGGGGCCCAGAAGACTCTTGCTTGAAGCCACCACTATCTTCTAGACCCTCTGAATGTGGAGGGTGAGGATCCTATCAGCCTAGGATAGGGAACCAGGCCCTTTTTTTTTTTTCCTTTTTTTTATTGTTATGTTAATCACCATATATTACATCATTAGTTTTTGATGCAGTGTTCCATGATTTATTGTTTGTTCATAACACCCAGTGCACCATGCAAAACGTGCCCTCCTCAATACCCATCACCAGGCTAACCCATCCCCCCACCCCCCTACCCTCTAGAACCCTCAGTTTTTCAGAGTCCATCATCTCTCATGGGAACCAGGCCCTTTCTTAATGGATCCCTCCCCCAATTCCAAGGAGTCAGGTCATGGTTCCCCCAGGCCTTGAGGACAGAGAATAGTGACCCCAGGCAAGGCCCTACTCCCTTCCAATTTAGCTTCTTCACCTGGCTTCTGCTGTGTGGCTGGCTCTGCGGACAAGGCAAAGAGACTCAGGCAGGGGTCACCCTTGGAGCTCCTGCCCAGGTGTCTTGACAGCACCGGGACACCAGGGGTAGTAAGCAGGGGGGCCTCCCCCAGCTGAAGTGAAGCCTCGCCCTTATATAAGGGCTATGGGCACATGGAGGAGCCGGTGAGGCTGCAGGAACAGCAGCAAGGTGGGCCCTACCTGGAAGACCACCAGCTGGCCCTGGAGGATGGCGAGGAAGTGAGGGGGCTCGCTACCCATGGTCACGCGTTCCTGCACCAGGGCTCCATGGTACATGAGGTCCAGCTCCTCGGCGTGGCAGTTCAGGATGTTGATCTCACATGTGGTGGCCTGGTGGCCTGGTGGCCCTGCAGGTGGGGGTGGTAAGGGCCTGGGGCAGCTCTTAGATCCCATTCTCAGCTCCTCAGCTCTGGGGCTTGAAGACGCACAGCCTCGGGGCTCTTGGGAAAATTCTCTTTTCTCAAGTGTCACTTAAAAAGACAAAGCCTGTTCAAAGGCTGAAAGGAAAATACTTCCTTACACTTAATAGTATGATTTCCTCTTCCTAGTGGGTAGCGAGCATGGGCTCTGGAGCCAGGCTCCAGATCCTAATCAAATCCCAGGTAGGCCCTGTGTGGGCAGTGAGACCCTTCTGAGCTTTGGCTTTTCCCTTCTGTAAAGTGGGCATAACAACACCCACCTTGACAATGGCAGGAAACAATTCCTGGACAGCACTCTCTGGGGAAGATGTCCTCCGGAGCAGAGCTGCCAGAATCCTGCCTTTTGCAGAAGAGGCTGTTTCTGACCACACGCTCTACCAGGAGCAGCCCTTATCTGGCAGCCAGGCTTCCTAGCTCAGGGGCTGCCCCTGCCTGCCGGCCTGCTGGGACGAATCCCCTCTCTGCTTCTGTGCTTGGAGCCTGAGTGGCAAGACCTTTACCCTCCTGTATTCCTGTCCCCCTCTGTCTCTCCCTGTGTACCCCATCTCTCCTGCTTTTCATCCCATCCCCCCCACTCTGTCTCCTCCCTCCTCTGTCTTCCTCAGTCTCTTCTGTCTCTCTCTGTCCCTATTCCCTGTCTTCCTTTCTCCCTGCTCCAAGCCCTGCCATGTCTCCTCCTATCTTGGTCCCTTCTCACTAACGGTCTCTGTCCATCCATATTAGGGCAAATATAGGAAGAAACCTTGGAGAAATGGTATTTTCTCTGACCTCCACCTATCTGAAGAACTAGAAACCCAGAAGTCCTGTTCCCAGAATCTTACAGCGTCCCCACACCAGCCAAGGGCCAGATGGGACCATAGTTTTCGCCGCCATTTACAGATAAAAACTGAGGCCCAATGGACTTAAGGGCTCTACCAGGGATCAGATAACATGTCATAATGCAGCCCCTACATCTCCCAGAACACTGGTCTGAGACCAGACAGGTGGCCGACTGTGGGACTGTGTGGGACCGTGACTGATTACGTGTGATTGTGTAGTATGTTGGTGTGGTCGTGTGGGTTGAGTATTGTGTGTGACTGATCACGTTTAATGCAGAATTTGTGCAATTACGTTTGCAGCTGATGAACTTGGCTGGTTGGGTGCAATTAGAGTGTGTGTATATGTATTTGTATTGTATGTATGGTTGTGTCATATATTTAACAAAAGGGCACAATTATCTCGAAGTGTTACTGTGCTGTATGCCAAGTGTTATGTGAACACAGCTGCACAGATTGATTAGGCATCATGTGTATGAGCCCGCTGTAGGCAGGGTGTGTGTACAGGTACACATGCCCATAGATGTCGCTGTGCGATGTGCAAGTGCGTGTACTTAGGGCACTTCAGTAACCTGAAGACAAACCCTACCCCTGTGTGCCTATCTTCCCCCAGCCAAGCCAATGCCCCTTACCTCCACCTTCCCGGAGGCATCGTCCACCATCCTGAGCTGGGCCGCTAGTTCAGGCTGACTGTGCAGCTTGCCCACATCCAGCCTTACCCGAATCAATTTACCTGAATCAGAGGGGGCATAGGGTGTCACTGGCATTCTCGCCCCAGCCAACCCCGTCCCTCCCATCACTCAAGAGGCCCCCTCCGACCGCGCCCCCCCCAATCCGGGGGCACTTTCTGGGTACCGCCCCTTGTCGGTCCCACTCCATCCGCCCCAGGCCCGGCCCCGCGCCGGCCGCGCCCGGCTCCCCCCAACTCCCCGAGCCTCGTCCCGCCCGCTCTCCCATCCCACCGAAGTTCTGCGTGCCGCCCCGCGCCGGCCACGTCCCGCCCCTGCAGGCCACGCCACGCCCGCTCCCCCTTCCCTCCGAGGCTCTGGGGGCCGCCCCGCCCCGGCCGCGCCCCCCGGTCTCGTCCCGCCCGCTCCTCCATCCCACCGAAGTTCTGCGTGCCGCCCCGCGCCGGCCACGTCCCGCCCCCGCAGGCCACGCCACGCCCGCTCTCCCCTCCGAGGTTCTGGGGGCCACCCCACTCCGGCCCCGCCCCGCCTTGGCTACGCCCCGCCCTGGCTCGGCCGCGCCCCCTGGCCTCATCCAGCCGGCTCTCCCATCCCACCGAAGTTCTGCGTGCCGCCCCACGCCAGCCCCGCCCCACCCGCAGACCCCGCCCGGCGCCGGCCACGTCCCGCCCCCGCGAGCCACGCCCGCTCTCCCCTCCGAGGTTCTTGGTGCCACCCTACATCGGCCCCTCCCCGCCTCGGCTCCCCACCCCCGCCTCGGCTACGCCCCGCCCCCCGACCTCGTCCCGCCCGCTCTCCCATCCCACCTACCCTCTGGGCCCCGCCCCGCGCCGGCCCCGCCCCGCCCCCGCAAGCCACGCCACGCCCGCCCTCCTCTCGGAGGTTCTGGTGCCGTCCCGTGTCGGCCCCGTGCCGGCCCCGCCCCCCCCGGACCCCCCCCCCCCCGCTCAGTCATCCTGTCGAGCTTCTGGTTCCTTCGCTGGTTAGTAGACCAAGTCTGGAGGAGCTGTTTGAATGCGGCCGACTCGGCGCCCTCGTTCACCACCTCCACGTTGGTGTAGGTCGGATAGCCTTTGGCCTGGATGAAGGCCTGGGGCGGGGGCTCTGTCAGGCGCGCGGCCCGAGGGCCCAATTCTCTGCTCCACCCGCAGGGACCTGAGGCTCAGCTGGGCCCTGAGCAGCATTAACTAACCGAGCTCATGACCCGCTTAAGAAGCTGGCTCCTTCACTACCAACTTCTCTGAGGTCCCTGAGGACAGGCAAGGTCCCCTTAGTCTGAGCCGCGGGAAGGGCGGGCGTGACAACACCCCCAGACCCCAGGCAGAGACCTCCCTGTCTTCCCCCCTCAAAATGGGGGAGGCGCCCAGTACTGTATGCTTCTCAGACCCGAAGGCAGGCCCACGTTCCCCTTTTACATGTGGTTTCTTGGGTGCTCTCTGGTCACCCGCTCCCCCAACCGCTCTCAGGGCTCCCCGGGGAAGGCTGCATGCCCCTGGTACCGAAGAGGGGCCCCGTGTTCTCCCTCAGACCCCTGGGCAGAATTGTGTCTCCATCCTCAGACGGGGCGCTTTGTCTCCAGGCTTAGACCCCAGGGCAAAGTCATGTCCTCCTCTATCAGACAGGCTCCCAGGACAGGATGTATCCATCTCCTGGCCCAAGGGCAGGACTACCTCCCCTTAAGGCCCTGGCAATGTGGATGTCTCCTAACTTAGATTTCAGGGTACCGCCATTTCTTCCCTCACACCCCAGGTCAGGGCTCCGCCCGCCCCTTCAAAGGCAGCTCCCTTTGAAACGGCCCAACAGCTTCACCAGGGCCCGGCTGAAGGCAGCCTTTTTCTCTTGGAGGCCAGACATGCGTCCCTGCCACACATAGATCTTGAAACCACCCTGGTCCAGGATGTAGTAATCCTGGGAGCAAGAAAGGGGACTGGTCAGGAGGTGGTCCAGACTGGGCTGGGGTTGTGGGTGGGTATGGATGAGGTGGCTGGGGCCAGGCCTGCCTCACCTCCTCCTGCAGTAGGTCTTGGGGTAGTGGGCAGGTCGCCAACTCCTGGATCACCAAGTCCTCATCCTTCTCACAAACGCTGGGGGAGAGGCAACCAGATATAGGCAGCTCAGCCCCTCTCTGGCCTGGCTCCACTCCATTTTCCTCTAGTCCCCCCAAAGACAGATGGCATGGAATCTAGGGCCCTGAGTTGCAGTCTTGACATCACTGCGGCCTTGCTGTGGAGCCTGAGGCAGCTCCCTGGCCCTCCATTGCCTCAGTTGCCCTATCTTTACAATGCGTTTCTCAGAAAGGCAGCCATGCAAGAGTACAGACTGGGCCCAAAGCCCTATATGGCTTGCTCCAGAAACCCAGGGGCCTTTCCTGGAGAGCTTTCCAGAGACACTGTGTTATTGCAGTAATGATAGACATGCAGACCCAGGCTATCCCACCCACCCTGCCCACTCCCAAGGTCTGCTCACTGGTAGAGGTGGACACTGGCCTTCTGCAGCTGGCTAATACTCTTGTTGGGCAGGGTGGCATGCAGGTTGCCCACTCTGCAGCCCAGCCCAGCTTCCATGACCTGCATGAGGTCAGTGGCTTCGACCTCGTCATCCACCACACCAATCTGGGCATGACCACCACGCTCCCTGTCCTGGAGGCTGCAGGTCAGGGTCAGGCCCTGTAGGAGAGGACCTGGCAGTCAGGGCTTCCCCAGCATGCCTCCCCCGTACTGTTCACCGCTCAGATAGTCCATCCCAGATCCTTCCTGTCACAGTTCAGCTCCGAGAGGCTGGAGTCAGAGGGGAGGCGTCGTGGTATGCTGGCCTCCAAGGATACCGGTGCAGAGTCTGGGCTCAGCTTGCACACAGTAGGAGCTTCTCAGGTTGTAGCGGAGAACCAGGCCCACTTCTTGGGGTGGCTAGAGGGTGGGCACCTGGAGGATCACCCTTCTCCCTGAACCCTGCATCCCTTACTTCCCAGAGTAGACACTGATCCGCGCCTTCTCAGAAATGCTGGCCTCGGGCCCATTCCACTGGATCATCACCTTGCCCAGGTCCAGCAGGAAGATGTCACCCTTATTAAAGCTGTTCCAAGAGAGCTCCACCTGCCAGAGTCAGGAGGGGCAGGGCAGGAAACAGGGTGTCATACCACCAGGACCCAGGGGGAGGGGTACCATACCTATCTCCACCTACAAGAGCACAGTCCACGTGTGTGCACGATGCTGTGGGCAACTGTGTATCTGTGTGACCAGTGTTGTGGTGTGCAAGCATGCATCTGTGTGACCATATGAGACCTTGAAGGTCACTCTGTGGGGGTAGCTGTGTGTATCTTTGGGGAATGCTGCATTTCACAAGGTGGATGTGATTAGGACACTCTGCTCAATGCATGTTGGTAGCTGCAACTTGTATATACATACATGTGTATACAAGTGGGATGTATGTATCTATCTAGCCACGTGTACCGATACATGCTCATGTGTAGGGGGCACATCCACTGTGAACAAGTGTGTGAGCCCATGAGTGACGATGTAGTTGTGCCTGAATGGAGGGCAGTGTGTTATCAATGGAAAAAGACAGTTATCATCAGAGAGACTTTGGGGAGCAAGAGTAGGGACTCTAAATAATTATGCCAATATGGCAGGCAGAACCTGGGGCTGCATGTTGTCCCTGTGTGCCCAGGGATGTAGGGTCACTGCCTCTGTGAGGACAGTGGGTGAGCCCGTGTGGGATTGTCACAGGGCTGCTATATGCCATATAGAGAGTAATGCGTACAACTCAGGTGTCACCATTCACATCGCAGACATCAAACACCCGGATGTTCATGATACCAAATCCCTGTCAGGGGGCAGCAACGTGTCGTGTTCTAACAAGATTGGTATTTCCCATTACTTTCCTGACAGATGGAGTAAGGGGCACTCTGCAGACTAGAGTGGGCCTGGGGGGACCGATGGGAGACAGTGTGTGTGCCTACGGGTGATAGGGATGCTGTGTCTGAAGAGTGTGGGGCTGTGCAGCTCCCACCCCACATTGTGCTACTTCCCACTGTGTGGCCTACGGGGACCATCCAGGTGCACCATTTTATCCTCCTCACCTCCCCAAGTTCTTCCTATGCCATGGGGTGGATGAGAAAACAGGGTGAGGGGAGACGTGGTGGGGTGGGGCTAGGAGCCTGGCTCCACCTCTTCTCTCCTCATCCCAGGTAGGCCATCTGGGAGTGCGGACAGCCCATGGTGCCCCCTGCCCGGCCTCCACCCTCCACACTTCCCGATACTGAGTCCCCACAGTCCGACCTGAGCCCGGCGATGGAGCGGCATGCCCGGCAGCCCTCACCTCTGTGGCTGACGCATGCTTCCTCCCTTGGATGCGCAGCAGTCGCTGGATGTTGTATATGTTGGTCTCCACATGCCTGAGGGCAGAGGCCAGGCCTCCTTTTCTATAGCTGAGGAGGGAATGGGCTCTCCTGGAAGACCACACATTGCTGTGTGCAGGCGTGAGCGCAGACGTGCGCACACATGTGGGGAGACGCATGAGTGTGTGTACGAGTTGGGGCATATGGGGATCTGTCCGAGCAAGTGCAGACGTGAGTGCATGGAAGCTGGGCAACAGCATACACGTGTGCACGCAAACACGTATATAGGTAGGTGTGCCCACCTACTTGGTGGCCCATCCTATAGCAGTGGTGTGTTTTCTATGTGTGTGTGTATAAATACGCTCCTGTCTATTCTATATGCATGTGTGAGGTTTAACTGTATGAAACAGCAATGATCAAATATTGGCGTTTTCCTATGGTTTAACCTAATACATGCAATTGTTAATTTAATCTATAGTTGAAGCAATTTACAGCCAAAGACATATTTCTACTGGGCACAGTAACATAAAGGCAAACTCAAAACAACATTGGTATCTACCCAAGAGAAGTGAAAAACACGTCTGCACAAAAGCTTGTAGATAAGATGGATGTTAACTAAACTTAGGGTGGTGATCTGGTCACAATACTTGTAAGTCACACCATCATGTTGTGCCCCTCAAACCATACAGTGATGTATGTCAATTATCTCAATAAAACTAGAAAACAAAAAACCCCACCCCAAAACATGTATACAAATGTTCATAACAGCATTATCCAGAACAGCCTCAAAGTGAAAGCAATTCAGATATCCCATGATAAATACATAAATAAAACATGTTCTATCCCCACATCATGTGCTGTATAATTCCATTTATAAAAATGTCCAGAATAGGCAAATCTATACAGACCGAGGAAAGAAAATGTTGGGGGGAAATGGGGAGCATTGTGAAGGGTATGGGGCTTCTTTTTGGGGTGACGGAGGTGTTCTAAAACTGTGGTCATGGTTGCACAAGTCTGTGGCTAGACTAGAGATCACTGAATTTATACTCTAAATGGGCCGGTTGTATGGTATGAGATTTGTTAACTCAGGAGAGATGTCTCCCCCTACCCCAATACCCTCACGAGAAGAGAGTCACCCAGGCCTCCCAGCCCCCATGCCGGGCAGACTTCCACAGGCTCACGTGGAGGACAATGTAGCAGTGTTCCTTGAAGAAGTTCCCATAAGCCCTTGCGGGGACTGGAACCATCCTTAGGTTCTGGGAGAGGAGGTGCCTCTGACAACTCAGCAGGACCACCTGCCCACCCAAGACCTTCTGGGGTGGGGAGGAGGGAGGGAGGGAGCTCTGAGTTGGTGGGGGGAGGGAGAAGCCTAGTCTCAGAGATTGATACTCTTTGTCACCAACCCTGCTGTCTGGTTGTACTCCTCACCTCAATGATCCATATGTGGAGGTCCCTGTGGCTCTCAGTGGCTGGGAGGCCCTTGCCAATGTCCATCCTAGGCCAGGTGGGAATGAGGGAGGAAACAACAAACAAGAGCCAGAGTTCGCAGGCCCCGGCCACCTGTGCTCTGGGCTTCAAGCAAGAACTCTCCCCAGCTGCAGCTCTCCAAAGCACTGTCATCATAGAATATGCCTAGAATATGCCTTTCACTAGGAGGGCTCTATACATACACAGATGCTAGCAAACCAGGCCAGGTACTGCAGATGTTGGCACAGAGGCTTTGCAAACAGGGACCTGGTTTGTTGTCTGTGGTTGTGTTCTTTTTTTTTTTTAAAGATTTTATTTATTTATTTGAGAGAGAGAGAGAATGAGAGAGAGCACAAGAGGGAAGAGGGTCAGAGGGAGAAGCAGACTTCCCGCTGAGCAGGGAGCCCGATGCAGGACTCCAGGATCATGACCTGAGCCGAAGGCAGTTGCTTAACCAACTGAGCCACCCAGGCACCCTGTGGTTGTGTTCTTGAAACAGGGCCCGGCTCTGTGGGCAGGGATGGGTTTTGAACATAGGGAGTTAGAAACAGGCTATGCAGACAAAGATCTGCAGCCAGGGACGGCCACTGGAGACAGTGACAGGTTTTGCACAGGCAAAGGTTCTGCTAGTAAAAGAACAGATTTGGCAGCCAGGGAAAGGCTCTGCAAACAGGCTCTTGAAATGAGACAGAGACACTTACCGCAGAGGAAGCAGGGTGTGCTGATAGGGATAGAGACAGGTACTATAAACAAAGCTCTGCAAATAAGAACAGTGTCTTTAGGCAGAAAGAGGTGTCCCAGACAAGGACACAGACAAACTCCGGAGACAGCTTCTGCCGTAAAAGCAAATCTAATACATAGGGAAATAGGGACAGACCATTTAAAAAGACAGGTTCTGGGGGTGCTGGGTGGCTCAGTCGGTTAAGCGTCTGCCTTCGGCTCAGGTCATGATCTCAGGATCAGGGATCAAGCCCCACGTCCAGCTCCCCCGCTCAGCAGGGAGGCTGCTTGTCCCTCTTCCCCCTGTTCCCCCTCTCTCTTTCTCTCAAATAAATAACATCTTAAAAAAAAAAAAAAAAGACAAGTTCTGAAAAAAAGACCCTGAAAGGAGCCTCTAGACACAGGCTCGGAGAGAAACAGACAAGAGGAAGTTTCTGCAAACTCAGGACAGACTCTGCACACAAGCATGGTCTCTGAAGACTGTGATAGAGTCTGGAGCAAGCAACAGGCTTAGCTAACCTGAGAGGGCTGGGTGAATAAAGCATAGGCACTCTTAAATTCTTGAAACAGAGCTGAACTCTTATTACAAACAGGCCCTGTGAACAGCCACAGGCTCTGCAAACAGTGACTTTGTTCCCTTAGCTCCTGCAGTGCCCTGTGGTTTTGAGTGTGCATAGGAGAGCAGCATGGAATGTAAGGTATCCGAGGTATCGAGGTATCGGGGAGGGAAGGGGCTCTCGATCTTGTTACATCGCAGATGACTCTCAGCTCCCCCAGGCTTCCCCATAACACACCTTCAGAAACCTCTGTGGGAGTTTTGGTCCTTCCTTCGTCCGTGGAAGTTCTTTCTCCATCTAACCTAAGTCCCACCTGCTGCAACTTTTGCTTCTTGCTGCTGCTTTACCCGATAGACCCAGAAGTCACTTCTCTCTGAACTTCTCTTTCCTAGTAACCTGAGCATGGTGTGAGCTCCTCTCCCCTCCCCACTCCTCTCCAGTGGTAGGAACCACCGGGGCTTGCTGACCCTGCCTGAGCAGGGCAGAGTAGGGGGGAGGAGGAGAGTTAGAGAGTTAGAGAATCAGAGGCATACTGTGACTCGTGCACCTTTGTCCAGGGCCCCTGAGGGCCTGGCTCAGGCCCTGGTGAGCTCATAGGTCACCGTGGGAAATTCCCCACTCTCTCAAAGAGGGCCCAGGTGGCTTCTGGAAGCAGGGAGGAGGGAGCTGCCCAGAGCAGGGCGGGCAGAGGGGTGGTCCTGCCCAGGTTAGAGCCACCAGCTAAGGCTCTGGAGAGCATGGATGCTGGAGGTCCGGTGTCCAGCCCTAGAGCAGAGGGCTCCCAAGGCCAGCGGCTTGTCCTCATGTTTGCCGCCAGCTCCCAGCCGGGCCACCGCCAGCAGGGACTCAGTGACAGCCGCTGAATGAATGAAACCTGCTGCCTGCTGAGTGAGGGTAGATGGACAGCGGGGCCACTGTGCGCTCTCACTGCGCCCAGAACTGCGGTTACAGGCTCTGCCTGTCGCTGTGACAGTGACGTGGGGGACAGGCAGACACGAGATCGTGTAAAGCTGGTCCCAAGCAACAGAAAACACGCGATGGCACCGAGTGACAGGCATAGTGACATTCAGAGGCGATGGACAGAAGCAGTGTCCAGGGACAGCAACCAGGACACAGGTGGGCAGTGGCCAGAGGTATAAACTAGGGGCTGTAGGTCAGGTAACAGTGGGAGTCAGGGACAGAGTGACAGGAAGCCTGGCTGGCCGCCACACTGTGGTCACCAGGGATCCATGGGGGAATGGACAGTCAAACTGGAGACCAGAAGTTTGGGACGGGGCAAGATTCACTGGGCGGGGTCAGCATCACCTGCGGGGGGCGGGAAGGGTAGCCCAGATCCAGTTCCAGCCCGGGGAGCCAAACTCTTAGGCTTCCAGGGCCCGAGGCCCTCATCCCCATGTAACCTGGGTTCTAGGGGATGGGCCAAGGGATTCTCACAGGGATCCTCTCTCCCCAACGCCCCTGTCTCCTCAGGTAGTCTCCTTCTCCCACAGGGGGGCCCTTCCCTTCCCCGAGGGCCGCCTCTAAACTGCCAAGCCCTCCCACCCTGGACGCCCTCCTTCCCCTGGGGAACTCCCTTCTGTCCTGCTCTGCATGGCCTAGCCCCACCCTGTGTCCTCTCTCTCCTGAAAGCCCCCTGCAGCCCAGGGCCCCCTTCTCGCCTGGATGCCCAGTTCCTTCTCTGACAAACCCGTCTCCCCCCTTCCTCCCCCATTCCTCCCCCAATGCCCCCTTGCTCGCCTGGCCTCCCCTTCTCTCCCCTGAGTTCTCCTCACTGCTGGGTGCTCCCTTCCTTCTCCAGATGCCCCCTCCTTTCCTGGGCTCCTCCTCCCCCCGGGGGGGGGGCCCTCCTCTGGGGCCCCAGTGGCTACTTCCTCCTTCTGAGGTACCTGTGAAAGGGCGGGCCCGAGGTCACTTTGCCGGAATTGCAGGAAGAGGGGGAGGGGCGCTCCCCCCCCCCGCCCCGTGCTGGACACCCCTGACTCGGAGCAGCCCCTCCCAGCTGATTCCGGAGCCCCCTCCCTGCCAGGCCTACCTGCTGGAAGGTGCTCTCTTTCCTGGCCAGTGGGCCGTGCTGGGCCTGTCCCCCAACCTGCCCCTGCACTAGAACTCAATCCCTGCTCCCGCCCAGCACCCAGCACGACACAACCCACCGCCTGTGGGCTGGGCTTCAAACGTAGTCAGTCAGTCAGTCAACAAATATTGACCCAGCTCTCTGAGAGCCACCCCTCCCCAGGGCCATGGCTGGTCTGCCAGGCCTCCCTGCCTGGGTCCTGGTGGCCAGAGTCAGCGGGGCTTGGACGCCTCGGCTGGTCTAAGATATGGGGTGTGGAATATACTGTGACTTTCCTTCTCTGACCCCTGACCCCCAGAAGGCCAGGCCACTCCAACAAACTTTAGGAGGAAGGAGGACCAAAGCTATTGGGGGTGGGGGCGGCAGTCTGTTTCTGTGAGACCCAGGTCACTTCAGGAGGTGGGGGAGGTGGCCACGCTCCCTCTAGCATCTCTGCTGTCCTTGCTGCCCCCCGTTTGGGCTTGCTGCCCAGCACAGCCCTACCCAGGGAGCCCTGATACCCATTGTGGGAGAGGCCAGTCCAGCCTTTGCAGGGAAGACACCTTTCCCACACCTCCCTCCTTTCCTACCTGATTGTAGGGTGGGGGAGGTGCTGAAAATATAGCATTCCAGAAACCCTTTCTTTAGGCCATTGGCCTCAGTTCTAGCCACAGACCGTCCAGTGGGGCTCCTCTGCCAGGACATACTGGCCCCAACACCCTTTCCCCATGTCCAGGCCTCAGCCCCACTACTCCCTGTCACAGAGAGGGGGTGACTCCAGGAAGTCTGGGTCCACCTGTGCCCAGTCGGACCTACTGCCAGTATGTGACTGTGGTTAACAGAGTTAAGAGGTCCCTGTGTGTGAAGGGATGCCTGTGTTGTCCCAGGACAGGTAGTTAGTCCTTGTGTGTGTCTGACCTTGTGTGTGGGAGAACACTCTGTTCCTTTATACGGTGGTGTGTGTGTGTGTGTGTTTGCCTCCGCCTGTGCATGCCTGTTTCCCTGACTCCTTTTGTCCCCATGCTCAGCAAAATCCCATGTCCTCACTTCTTCCTTCCTCCCTGCAGATTCTACCTGCCCCACTCCTGTGCACTCTGCTTGGCCTTTGTTCCAGAACTCCCTGGAAATGGCTCTTTCCTAGTCCTCAATGCCCACTCTTGCCACAGCGGATGCATGGTTGTCTGTCCTCACCTCACCCTCCCTCTTACCACCCAGGGACCCCACTGGCCACCCCTTCCTCTGGAAACAGTTCACAGCCCAAGTGTTTTCCCCACCTCACTGGCCACTCTGCCCTCTCCTTTGGGGCCTTCAAATGTCAGTGGGCACACAACTCAGGCCTTAGCTCCTGTCTCTTGTCTGTTTTCTTCCAAGTTCCAGTCCCCAGGCTGTAAATGCCAGGGGAACACTAGTGTCTCCTCCAACACAGACTCCCACTCCTTCCGAACCCCCACCCCCTGCCCACCCTTCATCCTTCATCTGTCTGGTCACATCTCCCCTGGTGCATCTGACCTCATGCTTGACATCCAGGTCAGGCCCCTCAGAGACCTCCTCCGAGGCCAAGAAATGGCATGAACATCCAACTGGTAGCTCAGGCCCCACACCTGAGGGCCATCCCGGGTTCCTCTCCTTCCCTCTCATGCACAGGGTGGCCACTAGCCAGTCTGGTTCATCCAGGATCCTGAACTTGGCTGGGCCTCTCT